GGAACGGAATCTACATCGAAGCCCTGGACATGAAATCAAAGTCATCACTCATTATGGATTTATGGAGTGGTAAATACAATCCAACCAGTGAGAAAGAGAAAAAGACTCACATCACTATCTCTCTTCTGGTCTATCAAGCGCAAATAATCATCGGAATCATAAGAATCATCGGAATCATAATCATGTTGTGGTTTGTCTTTTACCAAAGTAGAGCTGTCATCTATTTTCGATTTCTCCTTCCTTAAGATTTAAGCATTTAAAAGGTAGAGTTAGATGAACGAAAGGGCCAAATGTAAAGGTTTCTAATTCACATCACAACACAACACGCACAGAACCCCAATCAATCCATGAATTAGTCGAACTAACGAAAACAAAATTCCACGAAATTGAACGGGTTTGGATCGAGTTAAATTACTGTGGAGAGCGGACTCCGGCATCCCAGGAATCTGCTTCGCCGACTGCTCGTTTCTCAGACGTCGCCATCTTGTCTAGGTTTTGGTGCGATGATGATGATTGGTGAGCCGTGTAAAAAGCGGATTTGCCTACATATTTTTTTATGTCAATATCACCCAGATTTTCGAATATAATATTAGATTAAAAATAGAAATAATAATAATAATCCAATAAAAAAAATCTTAACGCGGCACGTGACTTTTAATTTTGGGAGTGGGCAACTGGACCCGGTGAAGAAATTAAATGAAGAAGAAAGTGTTGCTGTGTTGGAACTTGGAATTGGAGAATGAAATGAATTCCAAATTTCCAAATGGGGATAATGGGCCTAAAGAAAGAGTGTTGTTATTGACATTGAGATATTAAAGAGACCGAGAGGGCTTAAATACGGGTGAAAGATCACGCCGAAATTGTAAACGAAGGGATATAGTTAAATTTAATGAATAGTTTATTAATTATATGATTTATTTTAATTTAATTTAAAAATATTTTTTTAAATGATTTATAAGTTATTAATTTTATTTTAAAATAATTTACTTGACAAATATTTCGTTAACTAGACTAACGACATTCTTTTTAGTTGTTGATGTGTGCTTCTTAAATTTTTAAAAAATGTTAAATATAATACATATATTTTATTTTTTTTAACATTTTGTTTTTAAAGTTTAAATTTTATATCCAATGTAATAATTAACTAAAATGAAATTT